GAATAATGAGATATTGTTCTACTAAAGGAACATAGCAATGAAATGACTCCTAATGACATTCTGCTATACTCATAGATCAGTGCCTTATTCAGCCATCATCAGAGAAGCTTCATCCTGCAGCAGATTAGAACAATCAGAGACCCACAGCCAGACATTATGAAGAGAGTGAGACCTTTGAACACTCAGTCCTAAATGGAATATCTCCATCAATTCTTCCCCTCAGGGCTCAGGGAACCTTGTGTAAGAGGAGATAGAAAGAGTGTAAGAGCCAGAAAGCATGGCAGACACCAGGAAAACAAGGCCCTCTAAATCAACATGGTCAATGCATATATGAACTCACAGCATGCACAGGGTCTACACAGGTCTGCACTAGAAGGGGTTCTAGAGCTTTAAGAAGTGGACACATGCCCCTATCACTAACCCAGAAGCAATATCCAATTGATAAACACTTGCACATGTAAATTTAGTTTTCTCCAAAGGAGTTTCACTGGGGAAACAAACTACTCTTTTTTTATCTTAAAATTTTTTTATTCTATATATGGGTGTTTTGCCTGCTTGTGTGTCTATGCATACAGTGCCTGGAAAGGTCAAAACAGGGATCCTTTAGAACTGGAGTTACAGTCATTTACGAGCTGCCACGTAGGTGTTGGAAACCAAATCCCAATCCTCTGCAAAAACAGCCAGTGCTCTTAACCACCGAGCCATCTCTCTGATCCTGTTTAACAATTCTTTGTTATTATTATTATTATTGCTGTGGGATGGTCTGTATGTCAAATTGCTCTGATTGGTCAATAAATAAAACACTGATTGGCCAGTGGCCAGGCAGGAAGTAGGTGGGACAAGGAGAGAGGAGAATTCTGGGAAGCGGAAGGCTGAGGTGGAGAGACACTGCAGCCGCCGCCATGACCAGCAGCATGTGAAGACGCCGGTAAGCCACCAGACACGTGGCAAGGTATAGATTTATGGAAATGGTTAATTTAAGATAAAAGAACAGTTAGCAAGAAGCCTGCCACGGCCATACAGTTTGTAAGCAATATAAGTCTCTGTGTTTACTTGGTTGGGTCTGAGCGGCTGTGGGACTGGCGGGTGACAAAGATTTGTCCTGACTGTGGGCAAAGCAGGAAAACTCTAGCTACATATTATTATTATTATTATTATTATTATTATTATTATTATTATTTAATGCCGAATGCTGTTTATTGAAGGAGGGAGGAGGTCTTAAATACAGGCTTACAGCACAATGGGAAAACCCTGGAGGGCAGAAGTTCACTATAGATGTTTTACAATCTTGCATCTAAGCTGTTAATGCCCATTATGCAGGATACATAGACAAGGAACTTCCCTTAAGCATTCAGGAGGGTGAAACCCGGGAGGGAATTAGCATAGGGAGGATATCAAGGTCAAGGTCCGCAAGCAAGGCAACAGTTACCCAAAACAGGGGCCAGTGTCCTACAGGTCCCCCTTTTACTAATAAATGAGCTTCTGACTTAGGTTGCATGGGGTGTCAGCAGGTCACCTTACCTGTCATGGAGCACCTGCCCAGGCCACACAGGTGCTCTGTCTTAGGTTGGTGAGTGCCCCCCAGGAATTACCCATCTCTGAATACTCATTATCATACAGGCTCAATCGTGTGTGAGCTGCAGAGTTAACCGCTGCCAAAGATCTCAAAGTGGCACTGGGCTTGCAATCTGTGTGTTCGACACAGAAAAGACCAACAGAAGTCCTAACCCACCCATAGCCAGTAGGCTAAAGGCAACTGAGCCATTCCCTTCCTTAAGGAGCCTTACTGCAAATTGGAGTCCTTGTAAGATGGTATCCCAAAGGCAAATGGAACTTGAGTTTATAAATTTAAAATTTTAAAAGCCAATCAAAATGTATATAACTATTGAATTAAATTTATCATGCCCAATAGAATGAAAGGTTAATTAACTGTGGTAGCTACTTTTGCTGCCAGGGTCTCTGAAACAAACTACTCTTAAGGGTAGAATGCATGCTCAGTAGTAGATGGCCAACAGAAAACAAACTCAACAGCATCTTTGGAGGTTCCCTGTCTCATAATGTTGTGTCAGGGCTCTTCCTTTAAAAAAAAAGTTATCTTATTATTTTTATCTTCTATTTTTGTTTTTATTTTATTTTATTTATATTTTCATCTTTTAAGAAATTTTTATTTAATTAATTAAATTTTTTTATGTATTTTACACCCTGAACAGTTTCTCCTCCTTCCTCTCCTTCTGTTCCCTTCCCGTGTCTCCCCTCTATGGCCCATCCACTCCTCCTCCTTTTTAGTCTTCTTTCCTTTTACTTGACAGGTTCTTTGCATATGTATTATGGCTTCCAGTTTAGTATTTTTATGGGATTCCTGAGTATGTGAACATGTTCCTCTTTGTTTCTTGTGTATTTGTGGGCTGTCTTAATTTTCTTTATTTGTTTTGTTAAATTGTGATGTGTTAGTTTTTGTTTTATCTTATTTTATGTTATTATTATCCTATAGATGCCTGTTTGTTTTCTAGTGAGAGACAGAAGGGGGTGGATCTGGTTGGGAGAGGAAAAGAGGAGGAGTTGAGAGGAGTAGAGGGAGAGGAAATGTAATCAGGATTATGTAAGAAGAAAAACTATTTTATTTTCAATAAAAGGAACAAACAAACAACCCTCACCCCCAAATATCAAAAAAAAGAAAGAAAGGAAGGAAGGAAGGAAGGAAGGAAGGAAGGAAGGAAGAAAGAAAGAAAGAAAGAAAGAAAGAAAGAAAGAAAGAAAGAAAGAAAGAAAAAGAAAAGAAGGAAGGAAGGAAGGAAGGAAGAGAGGCAGGAAGAAAGAAAGAAGAAAAGAAAATCCACATATAGAAAGAAACATATCAGGTGACTGTAGTTGGAAGTTTCTCCGCTCACACCCAGCCCCACAGTCCCGCAGCTGCTTATAAAATAATCACTCAGAGGCTTTATATTAATTGCAAATTATATGGCCTATGGGTCAGGCTTCTTGCTAGCTGGCTCTTATAACTTAACTCAATCCATAACTATTAATCTATGTATTGCCATGTGTTCTGTGGCTTTACCTGCATCCCATTATATGTTGTTCCTTGGACGGTGGTTTGGCGTCTTCCCCGATTCTCCTTTCACCTCTCATTATCTTTCTTGGATTTTCCCACCTGGCTCCAACCTGCCTGCCACAGGCCAATACAGCTTTATTTATTAGCCAATGGGAGCAACACATATTCACAGCATACAGAAAGACATCCCACAGCAAACTGGCCTTCTTCAGTCACCATTCAACCATTCACAACATAAATAGCTAGACTAGCAGGAGGAAACTAGGTGTCATTTGTGTGAGGGACATTACAACTAGATCAGGGCAGTGGCAGAGGATGAGTGGTAGATTTGACAGACAGGAGAAAACCAGCTTGACCTGTTGGAATCAGCTATGAGGAGACAGGAGTTTGAAACTGCACATAAGATAGACAACAGAGAGTGGGATGTGTTGCACAACTGTAAACATAAAGGTAAGCACCATGGGGTTGGGGGTTTATCTCAGTGGTAGAGTGCTTGCCTAGCAAGCACAAGGCCCTGGGTTCAGTCCTCAGCTCTGGAAAAATAAATAAAGATAAGCACCAGAGGAACTCTGGGGACTGTGGAATAGGATAGGCAGAAAGCCCTTTCTGGAGGAGGAGGAGGGATTCAGGCCAAGACTCACTGAGTGACTTTGGGCCAGTCACCTTGTATTTTTCTGGTCCTTTGGTTTTCCACCTGCTAAGTCAGAAGACAGACAAATTGTGAGGACTGCATTACTTAAGAGGATGCTAAGGGCTGGCAAGATGGCTCAGCACATACATGTGTCACCACCAAGCCTGAGGATCTGAGGTCGAGCTCAGGATCAACATGACAGATGGAGAGAGCCATGTCCAGCAATTGTCCTCTGAACTCCACATGTGCTCCATGACACATATGCAACCACACACACAAAAAAAGAAAGAAAAAAGAAAAAATGCTCAGGATTCAGGAAGTGCCTAGCCTTGTGGGTGACTTGGGTCAGAGAGAGTGGGGTTGCGTGATATTTACACAACGGTGCTGCTTCAGGCAGGAAAGTACATTCATGGCAAATCTCCATTGCATACTTGATTGGATTTGGAATCACCTAGGAGACACACCTCTGCGTTTATCTGTGAGGGTGTTTCCAGAGAGGAGTAACTGAGGAGGGGAAGATGCACCCTGAAAGTGAGTACAACATCCTATGGGCTAGAGTTTCAGACTGAATAAAAATGGAGAAAGGAGAAAGCCAGCTGGTATATCAGCATTCATCTCTCCCGGATCGTGACTGTGGATGCAATGTGCCCCACCACCTCATGCTTTTGCCACCATGCCATCGTTCCCTGCCATGTTGGACTGTACCCTCATACCATGAGCCAGAATAAACCCTCTCATCTTAGGTTGCTTTTGTTGGGTATTTTGCCACAGCAATGAGAAAAGTGGCTAATACAGACATCCCTTTGTTCAAGTGATGAAGTTATGGGGAAGGGAATATATGACCAGAACACATGTGCCTTTGGAGGCCATCAAAAGCCAAGACAGATGAACCAATATTACCATGGGAGGCTCTATATTGGCAGTCAGCATAGAGGCCTAAGAGATCACCAATCTCGATCTCAGAATTGCTGTGTGGTGCCCGATCAGTTGTAAACCACTCTGGGTCCTAGTTTCCCATATGAAAAAGAACAACAAAAAAAAAACAGGTGTGTGTGTGTGTGTGTGTGTGTGTGTGTGTGTGTGTGTGTGTAGGGGATGGATGAATTTTTCTCAAGGGCTTACTCCAGGTGCTTCAGTTTCATGACACAAAGCGCTTTTTAAAAAGGGGGTCGAGGGGCTACCACTCTCTCTATCCCTGACTTTCTTTGTGGCCTTGATCCAGCTACTGGACCTCTCTCAGCCTATTTTCACATGTGAAATATCAGGAGATTGGGAAGGAGAAGCCCCAACATCCAATGATTCTCCCCAGAGGACGCTCACCCTCATCTGCAGCTGAAAAGCTTTGGGCAAATCAGAGGAAAGTGAGACACTGGTCACAGATGAACCCCTTTCCAAATCTTCTGTCTTCTCCCACTGCCCTCCCCGCCCCACTGTCAGGAGCTTGCAGCACTGGCTGGCTTGCCAACTTGTTGCCATGACAACGGGTTACAAATAACTCAGATGCAGGCAAAGATTTTAACCCAAGAGGTGCTGGGCCAAGGATTCTTGTTCTTTTCCCAGACCAGACTAAAGGAACAATGCCACAAATTCTTTAGGATCAATTTACTCTCCTGCTGACAAGACTGCCAAGGTTCCTCAGTGCCACAAGAATAAGACCTGGCATTCCAGGTCTTCTGAAAACCTGGTTCAAATCTTTCCAATCTTATTTCCTGCTCGCCCCCATTAAGAAATGATCGCTCCTATTTTTGACACCTGCTGTCTGACAAGCCTGGTGTTGGATGCTTTATACGCAGTTATCTATGAAAATCTCCCCAAATTTCTATTAGGTAGAAGCTATTGTCCCACCTGGGACTATCTGCTGTCTGAGACATTGTGCATGTTACAGAGGCAAGAACTGAGATGCACAGATATAAGAATGTCAGAGGTGGAATTCAAACACAAATCCATAAGATTCCTAGGGAGGTGAAATACAGCTGGGTACAGTGACACATGTCGATAATCCCAACTACTCAGGATGCTGAGACAGAGAGATTGAGAGTTCAAAGCCAGCCTGGACAATTTAGTGAGATCCTGTCTCAAAAAATGCACTAGGCATAGTGTCAAATACCTTTAATTCTAGCATTCAGGAGGCAGAGGCGGAGGCGGAGGCGGAGGCGGAGGCGGAGGCAGAGGCAGGTGGATCCATGAGAATTTGAGGCCAGCCTGGTCTACAGTGATTTCCAAGCCAAGCCAGCCATAGCTATTATAGTGAGACCCTGTTTGAAACAAGCAAACAAACAAAAAACTTGAAAACTGAATTCAAGAACACATCCAAAACATCATTATTCATCGTGATCAAATTTGTTTCATTCCATAGATGCAGAAATGGTATATATATATATATATATATATCACATAACTGGACTCAAAGAGAAATCTCATGATCATCTCAATAAACAGAGAAAATTCCTTTGACAAAATTCAACATCCCTTCTTGATAAAAGATGCCAAACAGGCTAGAGAGGTTGCTTAGTAGTTAAAAGTACCTGCTGCTTTTGTGGAGTACCTGGGTTCAGTTCCCAGAACCTATATGGTATCTCACAATAATTCATAACTCCAGTTTCAAGGGATTTATGCTCTCTTCTGCCCTCTGTGGGTTCTGAGCATGCAGATGGTAAACATACAGTCACAGGGGCAAAATATATATCTGTATAAAATAAAATAAATGCATCATTAAAACATTGAGGGGTTGGAGAGATGGCTCAGGGGTTAAGAGCACTGGCTGCTCTTCCAGAGGACCGGGGTTCAATTCCCAGCACCCACACAGCAGCTCACAACGATCTGTAACTCCAGTTCCAGTTCCAGGGGAATTGACACCCTCACACAGACATATATGCAGGCAAAACACCAATACACATAAAAATAAATAAATTAAAAAACAACAACATTGAAGACCCCAGAACACTAAAGAGAGAGGAAACATATCTCACTAAAGACTTTATATGCCAAGTTTGTAATAAATACCTTGATAAATGGAGAAAAACTCAAAGCATTCCCATAAAGATCAGGAACAAGACAAAAAGAAGGAATGCTTCTAAACTCTGCTAAATAGCTAGTATTCCTATTTGATATAGTGCTTAAAGTTGTAGCTAGGGCAATTAGAAAGAGAAGACATTAAATTAAGAAGGGATATAAATAGGAAAGGAAGAAGTCAAAGTATTCTCATTTGCAGATGATACAATTATACAATTCTGTATGTATAAGAGACCTTAAAGATTCCACCAGAAAATTTCTAGAGCTGATAAACTCTTTCATTAAAGTGGTACAACACAAAAGTAATATAAAAAAAATACATGGCTTTCCTGTATGCCAATGGCAAATATACTGAAAAAGAAACTGAGGAACGATGGCATTTACAGAAGACAGACAGACAGACAGACAGACACACACACACACACACACACACACACATCCTGTCTACAATGAAAACACTGAAGAAGTTGAGAAAGATGCTAGAAAATAGAAAGTGCTCCTATGCCCATGATCAGAATTGATTAATGTGAAATTGTCATCCTGCCAAAAGCAATCCATGATTCAATGTTATCCTAATCAAAATTCTAGTACGATTCTTCAGAGAAATATAACAATTTAAAAATTCATATTGAAGCACAAAAGACCCTTTCCTGTGGCCTTGTGGGTAGATGTCTTTCTCTCCAGTGGAAAAGATTCCTTCGAGTATTTCCTGTAGAGATGCTCTAGGGGTCACATTTAAACTATGACAGATAGCTTTGTTGGGTATAGTAGTTTGGGCTGCCAGTTGTTGTTTTTCAGAACTTGAAATACATAATCCCAAGGCCTCCTGGCTTTTGAAGTTCTCAGGTGAGTAATCTGCTGTTGTTCTGATGGGCCTTCTTTGTATGTGATTTAGTGGTTCTCTTTTGCTGTTTTCCTTATACTTTCTTTGTTCTGTGTATTTAGCATCTTAATTCAAGTATGACAAAGGGTGGTTCATTTCTAGTCTTGTCTGTTTGGCATGCTAAGTGCCTCTTATATATAGATTAACATCTCTTTTCCTAACTCTGGAAATTTTCTGTTACGATTCTTTTGTTAATGTAACAATTATATTAATTCTTTTGGAAATTTGTTCAATATGGTTTTATACATTATTTCTTTTTACTGTTTTTGAGATTATAATTACATCATTTATTCCTTCCCCTTCCTCTTTCCAAACTCCCATACACCACTCCTTGCCCTCTCAAATTCAAATTCATGCCCTCTGTTTTCATTGTTATTACATGCACATACACATATGTATATATATTTCTCTCTCTTTTTTTCTTTTTTGTTTTTTTTTCCAGACAGGATTTCTCTGTGTAGCTTTGCGCCTTTCCTGGATCTCACTTGGTAGCCCAGGCTGGCCTCGAACTCACAGAGATCCGCCTGCCTCTGCCCCCGCCCCCAGCACTGGGATTAAAGACGTGCACCACCACCGCCCGGCTCATGTATATATATTTCTAAGTACAGATTCTTCAGTATGAATAAAGCTACTTGTGTGTATGTTTTTAGGGCTGACCATTTGTTATTGGATGACCAGCTTGTGTACTCTTCCCTGGAGAAGACTTATTTCTCCCACTCTGAGCAGTCCTTCGTTGCCTGTCATTCTCTGGGTAGGGTCGAGGCCTGCTGGGCCTTCCCCTATCTACTTTAGCACATCTGTTGCTGTTGTCCTTGTTTAGCTCATGTTTAGGCTGTCATGCTGGACAGACTTTGAGTATAGATTTTGACATTCCTAGGAGATACACTCTCACAGCAAACTCCATGATCTCTGACTCTTACAGTCTTTCCACACCCTCTTTCTTTATGTTCCCTGAGCCTTAAGTGCAGGGTTTGTTTTGTAGCTTTGTCCACTGGGACTGAGCTCCGCAAGTCTGTATTTTAATTGTCTGTGGTTTTCTGCAATAGTCTCTACTGCGAAGAGACGTTTCCTTGATGAGGGGTGAGGACTAAACTTACCTGTGGGTATAAGAACAAATAGCATGAAGTTAGGGTTATACTAGTTTATTTAGTAAAGGGGTAGCTGTAGGTTCTCTTCCGAGAGACATAACTTCACTAGCCCTGGGTATCTGGCTAGGTTTCTAGTACCAGACATGATGCCTCTGTGCTTGAGTAGTCTTAAGTTCAACTAGAGAGCTGTTGGTTCCTGCCAAGGTTTTTATTCCACTACTGTACCCCTAGGGTTATCATGCAGTGCTGCTCCTTGTGATTCCTAGGCAGCATAGCCTGGTAGGACTATTGGTTGCTTCCCTCACTTGGAAGATTGCATGGTGCTGTGGATATCATTCTATATAAATAAAACACTGATGGCCAGTGACCAGGCAGGAAGTAGGTGGCCAGGCAGGAAGTAGGTGGGACAAGGAGAGAGGAGAATTCGGGGAAGCGGAAGGCTGAGAGGGGAGACACTGCAGCCACCGCCAGGAGAGGCAACCTGTAAAGACGCCGGTAAGCCACCAGCCACGTGGCAAGGTATAGATTTATAGAAATGGGTTAATTTAAGATAAAAGAACAGTTAGCAGGAAGCCTGCCACGGCCATACAGTTTATAAGTGATATAAGCATCTGAGTGATTATTTTATAAGTGGATTGTGGGACTGCGGGGCTTGGGGAACCTGGAGAGAAGCCCTCCAGCAACAGCATGGCACATTTTGATACCATAAAAGTTAGTCCTGGGGTGGTGGGGAGACACTTTCAGGTCAGGTCAGTTTCAGTTCAGGGCCTGTTGTGTAGCATTTTCCTAGAGATTGAAACATTTCACCTTGCAGAGAAGTTACTTACCTAGAGATTGAAACATTTCACCCTGCAGAGAAGTTACTTATGCCGGAAGGTGAACAATTCAAAATAGCTTCAGAAGTTCTTTATACCAGAAGGTAAACAACTCAAAATAGCTCCAGAAGTTCCTGAAACTGACCAGATTCACTAGGCCCCTCCCTCCCAGAGTAAATGATAAAGACTGTTGCGAGCCACTCCCAGACCAGCCAAGCTGCAAAGGAAACTGTGAGGCTATACCAGCTGCTGGCAAGAAGCAGAAGCCTGTCAAACTGCCTGGAAGAGGTTTCCACCAGCTGATTCACATGGAAAGGACACTCTTCACCCTGTTGAACCGCCTTCAGGCTGTGCAGTGGGCTCTAGGTTCCCTGCTTCTGTGAGTTGTCACCTGGGTTGGGATGGGCTTTGGTGATAAAGCTGTCTTTGAATAGTTTCCAATCCTGTAAGTAAACTCTCACCTGTCAGAAAAGGTCCAGGATGGAGTCACGTGAGGAGAATTGTGAATGCTTGTGAGAACACTCCAAGAGTCTTGTGACCTCAGTTTCTTCAAAACATGGAATTGTTCTTAGACTGTGGGTTTGTTCTCCTCCCAGGTGTAGC